TTGAGGGCCACTACGAGCCCGAGTCGAGCTGGTGCTCGGGGTTGGGAAGGCGGTGTGGGCAGGAAGGGGGTGGTAGGAAGCTGGCTTTCGAGTAGAAGAGACACTAAAGATGGAGGGAAAGTGGGGTATTTGGTTGGTCTTATTTCCCTGGACCTACTAGGCGCCGCAGCCCTGTAGTTCCCGGTTTTCATCTGTGGATGATGTGGATGACCTACTACGAGCTCTCCAGACCCTGGGGGGTTCCAGTGGTGAGAACTGCAGGGAAGAGGAAGTCAGAGCAGAGCGCCTCCCAGCGCCGTACCCTCAAAGCACCCACATCCAAGCGCAGACCCAGACTTGGAAAGTCGGGCAGGTATCCCCAAAGATGCACACATAGTGAGAGAAAGCCACTGTTGACTCTCTGAGGTATGGACTATCACCCCATTTTACACCTGGCCAAACAGCCTCAGAAGGGTTGACTTCTCAAGGTCACACAGACTGGCTTCAGCGGTCCTGTATTCAATCATCAGTGTATTCCCTCCTTTTTGGCACATACTAAGTGCTCAGTAAAAGTCATCTGTTACTAGTGTTGTTATCAATGTCCTGATTTTACAAATGAGACACTAGGAGGCAATGAGAGGCCAACTAACTGGCCACAGTTTCACAGCTGGGACCAGAGCGCTGCAGACCTGAGCCCCAAACCCGGGGATGCCTTTATAGGAAACCCACTCTCCGCCACATCTCCTTTTTTAGGGACTCAAATCTTGGAGCTCAGATGGGAGGGTGGTTTGTTCACGCCTGCCCTGAGCTGGCTCTGCCGGGCTGGACTGCATGTCCCTGGATGGTTCTTCCTGCAAGACTAAAGGGCCCTGCTTCTTTAGAGAGTTTGAGGAGTCTTAGGAGAAAGGATCCTGAGGAAGGATCCACCCAAGGGCCTGGACAGTGAGCTGCCACCCTCCCTTCGGTGGGCCAGTGGAGCAGGGCAGGGCCCTAGCAGGAACAGATGACCCTGCCTTCTTCCTGTTCAAGAGAATCCCATCTCCTGCACAGGAGACCCGAGGGTGGGAGTTGGAACCTAGCATCCATCGATTTGCACTTGGAGCTATCAGGATTCGGATTCCTCTGCCACTTATTTACCCTGTGACCTGGAGCCACCCACTAGTCTCTGGTCCTTCACGGTCTCTCTCCTCCTGTCCCAGACTTTTATTAAACAGCTCTTGTTGCTTTTATTAAACAGCCCTTGGGGACCCTGTGTTGACATTTGCATGGCATGAACCAGACTTACTGTGAGATTAGAATGTGATCTCACGTTTACCCCTTGATGGCTGTATGGTGGTGGGTGAGCATATCCCTTCTCCCCGTAGTTACCTCATCTATAAAATGGGGTGAATGGTAGTGCCTAGCTCATAGGTCACTGGAAGAACTAGTGAGCCAATGATCAGGATGGGACTTGCCCAGGCCATGCAGGAGTCCCTGGAACCCCAATTTCTCCACAGAACCTCATGGCAGAGGCCTGGGCAAGGGTGAGCGCCCCCCCTACCTGTGGTTTCTGGAAGCCAGTGGACGCCCCCTTCCGGGATCTGTGGCAAGGGGTGTTACTTCCTGAGCCACCTTCCTCATCTGTGTGATGAAAGTACCAAAAGTGGCCTTCAAGGGGGCGGGGTGGGCCAGGCCCGTGAGAGCGAGGCTTGCAAGGGCTGTGCGGGCCCCACCCCCACAGTGGGGTTCCAAAGCCTAAGACTTGGCAGCGAACCTAGAGGGGATTTCACAGGAAAGTCCAGATTTCTGGCTTCTCTGGAAAATCTGGTAAAATTGAGCCTCCTTCCCACTTGCTGCCGAGCGATTCTACATGCACTGGGGAAGGTTTTCCAGGTTAGAGGGAGCTGTGTTCCTGGCCTCCGGCCCCAGGAGAAGCGGGGGAGTGCTGTGAGGATTTACTGAGGGCCCCAGAGGGTTGTGCACGTGAGAAGGCCTGGCAGGGATTTCCTGGCCCTGCAGCCTGGGGAGGGGGGGCCCTGCCTGATGCGCTGTGGGGACAGTTCTGCTGTGCGCTGAGGAAGTCCAGCAGCGGAAGACAGGGCGGGAGGGCCAGAGGAGGCCGGCTTTGAGCTGCATCCCAAAGGTTGGGCAGAGTTTTGCCTGAGGTGAGTAGCAGTTGTTGAGGGTGTTCTAGGCAGACTGAATGGCACAGTCAGAGGCTTAATGGCTTTAAAAGTACAGAACTGGATTGTGGCAGAAGAGTCACTTTCTGAGGGCGTGGCCTGGGGCAAGTCAGTTCACCTGGAGCCTCAGATCTTCACCCATATAGAGAGAGGCTGGTGGTGTTTGCCTCCCATGGAAGGCTAGATGTTAGTGCCCTGAAAAATTCTGGATCCCCCTCAGGCCAGAGAGGAGCATGCAGTGATGGATTGTGACGGAGCTGTGTGCAAATTAAATGGCAGGAAGTGAAGGTCATGAGGCATTGAGCTGATTCAGAGATGGGGGTTCAGTACAAGCTGGAGACTGCAGCTTCCTGTAAGAGGTGAGATGGGAACCGAGCCTCAGAGGGCGGAGATGAGGAACGGATTGGTAGAAAGGGAGATAGAGGGCGGCCCGAACAGGAAGGCGGCTGGCAGGGAAGCCCAGAGAGCACCCGCACGGTTGTAGGGGGAGGGTTGGGGAGAGATGAGCCTGAAAAGTTTTGTGGGGGGAAGCTTGGTAGGAGTGTATACCTGAAGGCCAGGCTGTACGTTCTGTCCCTACACCGGCAAGCAGGGGGGTTGTCTTAACATGTAGGCACTTTGGGATGTGGGAAGGCTTTTCTAATTGCTTTTGCATGGTGGGAAAAATAAAAGGTTGTACGGGTTATGGAAGAAGAGGGTTGATAAAATGATTAGAAAAAGGCATCAATCGCCCTGTACATCCCCATCTATTCTCATAGGCACATAGTGTTACTGCGACAGGGAAGAGAGAGTTTGGCTTTCCGGGTACCATCTGTAGCAATGCCTCATGAACGTGAGCTGTGCCTAGAGATCAGCAGACAGTACCATCTTCAGTCATTGTGTTGCTAGCTGCACATACACGTTGCTGGTGCTAAACAACACTTCAGTAAGCATGTCTGTTTCTCAAACTTGTAGGTTTTTCCATTGGATACCTTTCCTGAAGGTAAATTTCTGACTCTTAAGGGATCAGAAGTTTTTATGGCTTAAAAAAACTAAAAACATACTCTCTGACAGTAATTTTCTTTAGACTTTTCAGTAGGTTATACAGTATAGGTGTTTTTTTTTTTAAGAGCAAATGTACAAAAGAATGCACAATAAAAAGTCTATCCTCTTGACCCAGTGGTCTTTCCCAATTCTCCTTGAGGACAATTGTCAATTTCTTGTATATCCTTCCAGAAATATTATGCAGATATTATATAGATCTAGGATTTTTTTAAAAAAAAATACATACTGTTGTACTCTGATCAGCATCTTGCCTTCAATATTTATTTTTAAATTTAGTATTATGAAATATACCAAAGAAGCATAGAAAATGACACCTCACCCAGTAGCCCACCATACATGTTAACAGTTTTAAAAATATTTTATTTGTTTTTAGAGAAGAAAAGGAGGGAGAAGCATCTTATCAGTTGCCTCTTGTAAGCCCGCCCACTCTGACCCCCCCAGGGGACCTGGCCCCAAACCCAGGCATGGGTCCTGATCGGAATCAAATCAGCGACCCTTTCGGTATGCAGGCGGACCCCTGACTCACTGAGCCGCGCCAGTCAGGGCCATGTTAACATTTTGCTCTGGCATCTCCCTACAGCTGTCTTGGAGGTAGCCCTGTGCCCTTCTATCTCCATACAGAGGAGTCAGTTATTAATTATATACATACACCATTATTTTTCTTGCCTTTGTTTTTTTTTTTTCATACACCATTCTTTATTGGGCCGGTTTCCCAACTCTTGGATATTTTAGGTATTACTGATCTTTTTGCTTAAATAATCAATATAGAGTCAATATTTCACTTTGTATGTCTGCCCGGGGAAGGCATCGCGACAAAGGGGGAACCTTGGCGTTGGCCTAGGTTCAGATACATGATCAGCCACACTTCCATGGCTGTGTGACCTGGGCTCAGTGACACCCCTCTTGAATCCTCTTTACCTATTTGTAAAATGGGCAAGTTGTACTAACCCCTCGGTCTCATAGCTAGCTGCTGGAAATACAGTAGAAAACTAAAATCTTCGCTGGCTTACTTCCCCAATCCCTCTTAGTCAAGAAGCGACTGAAGGGCCTGGTGACTGCTGCTCTAGCTTCAAATTGTTACCCGCCCCTTCTTCTGGCCACGTTGGGGGCGGGGCAGTTAAAAATATCTCTGTGACGTCAGCATGCGTAGGACCAATCCCCCTGCCGGTTAGGCGTTAACTTATTTACATGGATTGCCCGCTATTGGTCCGTTAGGCAGTGCGGGCTGTCCCAGCTTTTTAAAGCCGCCGCGCAGTATAAACAAGGAGATGCGAAGCAGCCAGACCATGATGTCATCAAGCGCAGTAGCTTTTGGGGCTGACGTCATCTCTGGGGAGGTTGCCGGCACAGGACTGTTAGAGCTTTGTTAACCACTCGGGCTGACCCCATCCTGATCGAAGATCGGCCCCATCGTAGTTAAGTGTCTCAGGTGGCACCCTGCCTCCAGGAGGGAACGATGACAGAGTAAGTCCGGGCTGCGGTTCTCTCGGCGGGACCCATTTCTCCAACAGGGAAACTGAGCCTCAGAGGGGCGAGTGGCTTGCGAGTTTGCTTAGCAAGTTAGAATTGCAGCTGATCGGTCTTGCCCATCTCCGAGTCTCCCATCTTTAGGTCAGGCCATGTGGCCCCGCCCCTTGCCTGTGACGGCTGCGGTCACTTTAAGTGCGAAAGTGGGGGTGAGGAGTTTTTTTTTCAATCTATCTTCCAAAATGGCGACCCACTAATCACGTGTCTGGTCGCAGTGAGTGATTGGCTCTCGGGGCCCCAGCGAGGCGGGGCTGCCGCGGGCAGCTGCCTGCTACTGTTTGCCTGAACCTCCCGGCGCGCCCCCGCGAGGCCCCCTCCCACCCGGCGCGCGACCCCGTCACTTCCAATGTTGTGAATCAAATGTCGGGTTTGTTACATTCCGCTGGCGCCGCGGACAGTTCTTAAAGGGCCAGCCGCGGACAGCTGCGCAAACCTGTCCGCGTCCTGCGCCGCCTCCGGCTCCCGGAGAGCCTGGCCGAGAGAGGCTTAGCGCGCGTGGGCCTCGGGAGGCCAGACGCCAGCGGACGGACAACAAAGAGAGAGGGCCCCGGAAGGAGCCGGACTGCCCCCGGACCGGGGGGTGGGGAGGGGAGCATATTGTTCGGCAGGGCGGGGGCTCTTAAAGGGTCCGGGCAGCCCCCACCACCACCACCGCCCCCTTGCCCAGCTTGGCCGCCCTAGATCGGGAACAAAGGAATCAACGTGTGTCCAGGCGGCTGAAGGTGAGTCGGGGCCAGAGCCCCCAACTCCCGATTTCCGCATCCCTGTAAACTGCTGTCCCTCTCCCTTGGGACTGGGGGCTGTGATATAGCTGGCTCTGCAGGGGTTAATCACGGGAGGTCCGGCGGGGGCGGCGAGACCTCTAGGGTCAAAGACACCCCCTTCACAACGACCCCCAAGGCCTGGACGAGTCCCCCTTCTTCGGAGTCTGAGTGCTGCGGTTCGAGAGGAAGGAGCTGCCCCCTCCCCCTGCCGCCGCCACTTCCTTTGTTGTTGCTTTTGTCTCACGCCGAGCACATGGTCCGGGATCCTCGACTCTTAAAGTCACAGCGCTCATGCTCAGACGCCGCAGTCAGGCCTCCCTCCCCCTTGTCCCTCTCGGCGCGGCACAAAGGGGTGAGATGGGGACAAGAGAGGCCCCTCTCCGGGCGGGTGTCCACACCCTGGCATCCCATTTCCTGGGAGGGATAGCTGAGGAAGCTTTCCAGAGCCCTGCAACCTGTACCTGGCCCGCGTTGAGGAGGGACCTGCCCCCCAGGGACACTGGTTTCCTGCCCCACTAATGTGACCACCTGGATACTTGCATCTTGGGTCCCCTGGTTTAATTTGGGAGCTCCGGGAAGGAGAGAGTGCCATTCCCATTTTACAGTTGTGGTAACTGAGACTCAGAGTTGAAGCGATTTCCTTGAGCAAGGTCACCCAGGGAGTCTGGGCTGGCCAAACAAGGACTCCTAGTTCCAAGTCCCGCGGTCCTGGCCTGCCTCTTTTGGGGAGTGAGGGGTGAGAAAGAAGGGGGCTTCTTGTCCTGCTTAGTCTACTCATGATTTAAGGCGACTTTGCTTATCTGCAAAACATCACCTGGGCCCAACTGACATGACATGGAAGGGGCTCCCTAGACCCAGAGAGGGGCAGCTGCTGGGCACTGGAGGTAGGGAGTTGGCTGCCTCCCCGGGGAGGGCATGGGTACAAGGGGCGGTGCCTGCTTCCAGGCAAGATGGGACTTAGGAATGGGACTTCAGTGAGAGCACCGTGCAGTGCGGACCGGCAGAGCAGTTGGGGGGTGGCCACCCTTGCTGTTTGACCTTGAGCGTGTTACTAGCTCTCACTGAGCCTCCCTTGTTTCTCTTTCCACAGTAGGGCGAGTTGCAAGCACCTTCAGGAGAGCTCCCCTGATCTTCAGGGCCTAGAATAGAGCTGGGATTAGGCAGCTCTTAGGGTTACTGATGCCAATGAGAGAGCCAGGAGCTGGGGGAATCCCTGCACCAGGGGGCCTGCCAGGACCAATTTGGTCCCTCTCTGGCTTTATGGCCTAGAGAAAGTTACTTCCTTTCTTTGGGTCTCAGTTTCCTCAACAAGGAAGTGGGTGTGTCCCCTCTCTGCTCTCTCTGTCCCTAGGAGGTCAAATACCAGAGGGCCCCTTCCTTGCCACCGGGGTGCTCCCTTAGGGAGATGTATGTCCCAGCCATGCTCCAGGCAAGGAGGGAGCTGCCGCTGGTTTCTGCTTCAAGGGCGGGGGGTGCAGGTGGGCCTCTTTTATTCTCTAACAGCGACTGCTCACAGCTAAGTTTTACAGACCACTCCTACCAGGGCCTGTGAGCAGCCTTTGCCAGTCCCCTGGGAGGTGGTCATTGAGCTGTTCCCACTTTACAGTGGAGAAGCTGAAGCTCAGAGAGGGGAAGTGTTGTGCCCAGGGCTCTGGCCAGAAATTGGGGTGTCTTGTGTGAGAATGCAAGGATCAGCACTGTCTTTGGCACCGTTGTCCACAGCTGGAGCCCCTTCTGTCTGATGATTTGGGTTCTCAGCTCCTTCCCTTTCCTGAGGAGAGGGTATCTTTGATGGGCTGGCCACAGAACAGATTCACGTGGGCCTAGGCCTCTATGGGGCCTGCACCTCTGAGTCTTGACAGTGCCCAGACTTTAGCAAGATAGCGGTTGAGGCCACTGCCTGGGTCATGTCCCCGCGCGCTCACAACCCCAGCTGCCTGGCTTTGAGCCTCACTGTCCCTGCTTCCGAGGGTGGCTATGAGGACTCATCGAGGTGGCACGTGGGAAGGATCGTAGTTACTGTTAATACTCCTCATCAGTAGGACTGTGGGTGCCCAGGAGCTCTGAGGTCAGTTAGAGCAGAGGTTCCCATGCCTGGCTGTGTTGTAGAAACTGCTGGAGAATTTGGTAAAAATCAAGGTGCTGTTGTTCCCCAACTCTGGAAAGATTCTGATCCAGGAGGTCTGGGATTGGCCAGGGGCTTCGGGTTTCCTCTGAGTCTCTCTTGGCCTTTGTTTGCTAGGCTGAATTGTCAGCAGGATCAGGGAGGCTGTGTGTTCCCATGCATGTGCCAGGGTATGCACTTGACCCGCACCACGGATCACAAACCCGGTCACCTGTGGTGGGCAGGCGGGGAATGGCCTCAGGGGTGGCTCATGCTCTGGGCAAGGAGGGGCGGCCAGGCAGGGGCGAGGGCCCTGTGGAACCAGAGTTCCTGCCCCCGCCCCTCCAAAGGCCAGATTTGTACATAGTCTCCCAGTTTTGAATGGCTGGCGCTAACCTCACTGCGCCAGGCTGGCCTTCGCCCTGTGTGGTCGTTCCCCAGGGTGCATCACCACGCCAGGCCTGCCCACCCCTCGGACAAGTGAGCCGGGCGGGAGAGGTGTGCCTTCCAGCTCCCGCTTCCGGCCTGGGGCCTAGGCAGGACGCTGTCCTGACAGCTGGAGGGGAGCCTTCCTTGCAGCCTCGTTTGGAGAGTCAGGGCCCAGGCTTTAAAGTCCAGCGCAAAGGAAATGTTTTTGCCATGGTTGGCAGGAAGGAACAAGGCGCAGAGGGGACAGTACAGCTGCCTCCTGGCTGTGTCAACAGGGAGGTGACACTTAAAGCTGGAGATCAAGGCTGCACAGGAGTTTTGTCAGATGGAGAAGGGACAGGGTGGGGGAGGGCTCTGTAGGGCAGGATCAGCAGAGGCCTTCGGCTTTGCGGGGCCTGACAGGCTCCTGAGCTTCCCCTGCCTGGGCCTCACCCTAACGCGAAGTAGAGAGCGAGCGGTACCTCCACCTTGCTCCCCCAACGCTCGCCTCCCAGGGAGGGAGAAAACCTACCACACCCCATTCCCACTCAGCTTCCTCCCTTAGGTCCTGGCTTCCCCTTTTTTCTCAGCAAGCTCCACCTCCCCCTTGGGGGCTGTCTGGGGCCCCCAGAGCAAGGCCCTGGCTGCATTCCAGACCCACCTGACCAACCAGAGTGGCTGGCTTCCTTCGTCACCTCCTGGGGAGCTCTTGGGCCGGACCCCTTCTGTCGGTGGCAGGGTGCAGCGGTAGGCTCGTGGTTGCCCCACCTCTAGTTCTGATGCTTGGGCAAGTCCCTTCCTCTCTCTGAGCCTCAGTTTCTTGCCTGTAAAATGGAGCCAAACAGCACCTTCTTTAAAGGCTAGGTGAAGGCACACATGGATAGGCACTGGGGGAACAGGTTATGGAAAGAAACAAAGGTACAGCCAGGCCTGTACCTAAAAAGGTACCCAGCTGGAGAAGGGGGGGGACTGGCCCAACAGGACTTTCTAACGGGGGCAACCTTGCCTTGGACTGGGCGCCCCCAAGGGCCGGAACTGGGCCCGACCTCTTACCTGTCAGTAGAAGAAGGAAAGCTGAGCCCCAAGCCTGACTGGAATCCCCCCCTCCCCGCCCCCCGCCCAGCCAACCAGATGGAGGCGGGGAAGCTGGAGTCCCCCCACTTGGAGGCCAGAGCTGCAGATCCCACACCCGAGCGTGCCCTGGGTCCCTGCCCTGGGGGAGCCTTACCAGAGCTGCCGGCCACTGAAACCACCACAGCCCTAAGGCAGCTCAGTCCCGCTCTGAGCGGAAGGCTGCGCCCCTGAGCCCCAGCGCCAGGAGGAGGGCCAGACCCAGCCTGCCTGTGTGCGGGGTGCGGGGGGCGGGGGGGGGCAAGAATCAGACTGCAGAGGTTTGATTCTGTCTCCCGGACCCCTGATGGGACAAGTGACTGGACTTCTTTGTGCCTGTTTCTCTGTCATTTTGACTCCTAGGGTTGTGAGCCCCGGCCCAGCCCCTCCCCCTCTCTGCCACCCCTGATGCGACCATGGGCTCTGGCAGTGACTAGGTGGCCACCCTCCACACCTGTGCGTCAGCGGCGATTACCCACAGGACCTGGCAGTACCCCGGCCCAGCTCCGGGGAAGGTAGGGAGGGACTGTGCAGCCCCGTGGGCCCTGGAGCTCCTGGTGCTAGGGCCGTTGGCTGGAGCTGGGGCTCCGGGGCCGGGGCGGTGGGGCGCAGGGCCCTGAGCCTTCTTCCTTCCCCAGCGGGTAGTGGCCTTGGCCTTCCTCCACGTCCTGTGAATGAGTGGCCCCCCTCAGTCCTACCCGGGCCTCCTCTCTGTGGTGCAGCCCTGGCCGTGAGGGCCGCCCGCCTGCCCAGGATGAGCGCTTACCCTCCCAGCAGCCGCCGCCCCGACCACCACACCTCCCCGTAGAAGAGCACCGAGCCTCGGCTCCTGCCGGCGGGAGCCCCCGAATGCTGCACCCAGCCTCCCAGCAGAGCCCGTTCGTGGTTGATGTCCACGAGCAGGTAGGCAGCAGGCCCCTTCCCAGCCCCTACCCCGCAGCCAGGCCTCTGGGGAGCCTGCCTGCGAGGCGGCAGCGGCCCTGGTTTCACCTTGTTTATTAACTCATCTCCTGGTTAGGGAGCCGTGATTAGCCCTGCTTACAGGGTGGTAAATTGAGTCCCAGAGAATTGATGGGCCTGCCCTGGGGCCACACAGTGGATGAGTGGTAGAGCTGGAAGCCCCTCTCAGGTTCCCTGAGGGTCCTCTGTCCTTTGGGGCATGGGGACAGCCAGGTCTATACCCAGGTTGGCCCCAGCTAAGGAAGGGAGGGAGGTGGCGCAGCAGCACTTTCTCACTTTGGGGCAGCCTCGTGGCCAGGCTTCCTCCCTGCAATGCCCGGCCCTTTTCCACCCACAGGTACACCAGGGAGCTGTCCCTCTGTCCTACACAGTCACCACAGTGACGACCCAAGGCTTCCCCTTGCCTTCAGGCCAGCACATCCCTGGCTGCAGCGCCCAACAGCTCCCAGCATGCTCCGTGATGTTCAGCGGGCAGCACTACCCGCTCTGCTGCCTCCCACCCCCGGTGAGTAACGGCCTCCACCTCCCATCCCCGCCGCGCGCGTGCCTGTCCCCCCTCTGCCATGCTTCTCTCCCCCAACCGCCCCCCACCCCCATCCGTGCCAGAAGGTCCAGCATAGGCCAGTGGCGGAACCACCGAGCTTACCACGCCCATCCAGGCTCTGAGAGCACCTACGTGCTGCGCCCAGCTCTTGGCAGAACCCATTTGGGGTGGTAACTGTGGGCCTTGAGGAGTCTAATGTCCTGCCTGGACGGCCTGGGCCAGGGGTGGGGGCGGGTGGTCCAGAGGGCTTCAGTGGGGCCAGTCGCTGAACGGGATGGCCCCAGGCCCTTGTCACAAGCCTAGGTCCAGCCCAGAAGAACCTTCTCCATCCTCTGCCCCCTCTCTCGGCAGCTGATCCAGGCGTGTACCATGCAGCAGCTCCCCATGCCCTATCAGGCCTACCCCCACCTCATCTCCAGTGACCACTACATCCTGCACCCGCCACCGCCAGCCCCACCCCCCCAGCCCGCCCACATGGCACCTCTGGGGCAGTTTATATCACTGCAGACCCAGCACCCGCGGATGGTGAGTCTGGGCGATGGGGCACGGGGGCGGGGGCTTCCCTGTCACTGACGCCAGCTCACCCACCCCTGCCTCTTCCAGCCCCTGCAGCGGCTGGACAATGACGTGGACCTCCGGGGGGATCAGTACCCCCTGGGGAGCTTCACCTACTCCACCTCTGCCCCGGGCCCAGCCCTGTCCCCGTCTGTGCCCCTGCACTACCTGCCCCACGATCCGCTGCACCAAGAGCTGCCCTTCGGTGTGGTGAGTGCCGCCCCCTCCCAGGCTCTGGGGTGATGGGAGCCGCCTGCGGCTGACCTCTCGCCCTGCCACAGCCCTATTCCCACATGGTGCCACGGAGACTGAGCGCCCAGAGGTATCGCCTGCAACAGCCGCTGCCTCCGCCGCCCCCGCCACCACCCCCACCGCCATATTACCCCAGCTTCCTGCCCTACTTCCTGTAAGTACCTGTATATCTGCCCCAGAGCCATGGTGCTGTGTTTGGGGGCCTCCAGTGGTTAGACGCCAACATAGCTGGTGGCATCCCGGGGCCTCTCGGGCCATCTGGCACCTGGAGCAGACCACACACCCCAGCTGAGCTCTCCCCTCCTATAGCTTCCTGGGGCAAACCCTGGGCCCCGGCGCGTGCTGAACTTGACCCTGGACCCCTGTGCCTGTCTCCCCTAGCTCGATGCTGCCAATGTCACCAACAGCAGTGGGACCCACCATCAGCCTGGATCTTGATGTGGATGACGTGGAGATGGAGAACTATGAGGTCCCGTGAAGCCCTGTCCTGGGAGGTGGTGGCTTGGGGACCTCCAGCCCAGGCCACTGCTGACCCCCGCCCCCCTCCTGCCCGTATGCAGGCCCTCCTGAGCCTGGCGGAGCGGCTGGGAGACGCCAAGCCTCGAGGCCTCACCAAAGCGGACATCGAGCAGCTCCCGGCCTACCGCTTTAACCCGGACAGCCATCAGTCGGAGCAGACGCTGTGAGTGCCGGGCCCCCCCTTCTGCCGCTGTGAGCACAGCTGGGTTGTGAGGGGCCCCTCCTGGGGAGCGGGGCCTCGTGCTGTGCAGTGAGCCTTCCCTCGCTGCCAGCGTGGAGGTGAAGCTCTTTGCCATCCTCCCAGGTGCGTTGTCTGCTTCAGCGACTTCGAGGCGCGGCAGCTGCTCCGAGTTCTCCCCTGCAACCACGAGTTCCACACCAAGTGTGTTGACAAGTGGCTGAAGGTAACGCAGCCCAGGCCACTCCCGGGAATTCCTCGTGTGGCGAGGGAGGAGGGCGGGCCTGGGGGCTTCCCTCCTCATCCTCGTCATCACCGGAAGTTCTGGCCGGACTTGGGGCTGCGTCCCCACCGGGCAGCGGAGCAGACCCGGATGGGATGGGGGGCAGGTGTGAGTGGGATCTCACGTGCAGCTGCTTGTCCCCCACCCAGGCCAACCGGACGTGTCCCATTTGCCGGGCCGATGCCTCTGAAGTGCCCAGGGAGGCCGAGTGAGGCCCACAGCTTGCCCATGAGAACCCTGCCCGAAGCTCTGGAAACTCGGGGGACCCAGGGAGGGTGGGGAGGGAGTGGCCCAGGCCTGTCCCATTGTTCCCGCCTGTATCTCCAGAGCTGGTGCCGGGGTCAGCTCTGCAATAAGTCCCTGCATTTGCCAAGCTCCAAAGACTCCATCCCCAGTCCGCCTGCCAGTCTGCCCACCACGGAGCTGCCTGGGGGTCCCTGACTCAGTCTCCCTCCCATGTGCCCTCGGGGTGTCTCCTTTTCCTGATAGCTCTGGGAGCCAGGGGTCTCTTCCCCCAGTTCGGCTGGTGGAGACCCTGGGCCCCGGGATGGGCAAAGGGGCACCGTCCTGGGTCGCTTGGTCTCTTGCACTGAAAAATAGCCTGCCCCCTTCCCAGGCGGCATTGACAGGCATAGACAGAGTGGCGGGGGGCTGTTCCTGACCCGCAGGCCTGGTCCTCTGGCCTGACCCCAGCCGGACAGTCCTACCCAGTCTGCGTGGGGGTGGGTCTGGCTCCCTAGAGGCCTCTCGCCTGCCCCAGGCGCAACATTCCAGCACCCCCCGCGCCCCAGGCTGGAGGGTCCAGAGCCTGGGTGGCAGGTATCCTGAGGGGCCTGGGCTATACCAGGGAGAGTGACCTATGTCCTGGGGGCCATTCTTCCCTGGCAGTGACGGGGGGGCCAGACCCATGCCAGATCTCCCTCTGTCATTTTGCATGAATGTGAGGAGTAGCAGTTTTCCTTTATTCATTTGGCCCAAAATCACGTGTAGGATTTGGGGGTGTGGATTTTTAAACTATTTGTTGTTTTCTTTTGGTTAAGTGGTGGGGGGGATAGGGACCACCCAGGACTGAGTGCCCAGGGGGCAGGGAATGGTCCGGTGGTGCTGCCCGGTCCACATGCATGGGCACGGCTGGGGCTGGGCCGGCGGCTGGTGGTCACAGGCAGAGTTGGGGGTCTGCGCTCAGCTGATAACTGCCATGCACTGTACCGCACACGTCCCCAGAGCCTACCGGGACTGTATGCTTTTCAGGGCATTTCTCCCTCTCCAGCCAGGGCCCGCCTCCCACCCATCCAGGCGAGTCCCCTCCAAGGAAATCCTGGGAGGATGGGGCCCAGGGAGGGCGTGGGCCTCACCTCCAGGGGCCCCCTCCCAGCCTGAGCCCTGCCCCCCAAGGTCTGGAGGAGGCCCCGTCAGGGTCTGGCTGAGCTCCCCTCCCTGGCCCTCCTGGTCCCTTCCCTGTCCTCCCCGCTGGGGTTGCTGCCCTGAACGAACCGCGTGTGGGGCCGGCACATCCTAGCAGGCAGCCCCTGGCGCCTGCTGCCTCAGGGATGCTCCAACCACCCTCGTTCTCCCGCAGCGGCCCCGCCCCCCCACCCACCCCCCCAAGCCTGCCGTGGGGCCCCATCAGCCTGGCCCCACCCCCGTGGAGAACCCAAAGTCTTACTGTATATAACTCCAGGTGATGTTTCTATATTTATAGCAGTGTTGAAACCCCACGTGTTTTACACAGAGAACCATCCTCTCCAGGCCCCTCTTCCTCACCCCGACAAAAGGTGTTTAGACCCCTCCAGTTCCGGGGCAGGCGGAGCGGGCTCTCGGAGTGGGCGGCTGCAGCGGTGGTTCCAGTGAGCAGCTGCTGAGGGGGCGGGGGAGACACAACATTTTAAAAAATCATTTAAAAACAAGATTTATAAAACAATTATTTAGGATGTTTGTGATTTGCCGACCTTGCTATAGATGCCATGTTACCAATGATTTCCTATGGTGGGGGCTTGTTGATGTTTACTCTTATTTACCAGCTTCCGGCCTGGGCATGGCAGCGGGCAGCATCCCAGCCTGGCTGGGCCCAGCACCTGTGTTCTGTGTTAGAGAGGCGTTACATATATATGTAACTACATACATATATATAAATATATGTAATTTGGGGGCCCTGTTCCTTGCACATTTTACAGTTACCTCATTTTTCCCATGTATGTATTTGAGAAAAATGCTAATATATAGAGAAAAAAATGGTTCTTAAAGCTTAAATGTGTGGTTTTTTCCATTCCATTGGATTCACATTGGTTTGTAGCATTTAACATAACTAGTATGTTGTATTATATATATGTGTATACTGATTGAAATTTTTAACAGATTTGTACTTTTTTTAAAATGAAAGTTGCTAGTTCTGCTTGACCAAGTAGTGCAATCATTATTTTTTTTAATATTGTTGCTGATTTCAGAGGGATATTCACTAATAAATGTATGATGTATATCAAGTATCGCCCAAGCTGCCTTTGGCCACCTGTGTTCTTTTGGTGGGGAGTTGGGGCAGGGTGTCCACCTCGGAGGGGGAGGGGGCGGGGCTGTCCACCTCAGGAAGGGTGGGGGTGCGGTGTGTTGGGTGGAGGAAGTGGTCCTCTACTGTGGAACCAGAGGGGTTCCCCTGATGGAGACGGGTCTGGGTTTCACGGTAACTTTGCCTCTCACACAAATGAGGCAGGAACCTGTTAACAAGTCACAGGATCCCTTTTTGCCAGTTTGAGGAAAGCGGCACTTACCTGGTCTCCTGTCATTTAAATTCTAAAAGTAGGTCCTTCCAACGGGATGGGGTCAAGGTCCTTCCATGTTACAACTTCGTCTCAAAGGCGTGCTTTCTGCGCGGCGCTTCTTGGTAGCTCTAGCTCGGTTTTCTGTAGTGTAGCGTGGTTTCCATTGGACTTCATTTATCCTGGGAATTGTAACAATTTCTGGGATGGAGTCTGGTCACACCAGCCTGAGGTGTGTGCCCAGCCGAGGACCCTTTGCCACCGTCTGGAGCCGCAGCAACAGCGATTGGCCTGGACTGCGGGACACACCCACCCACCCCACGCAGCCCCAGGGAGGCTGCGAGTGCGGAGCCCAGTCCCCAGGCTCAGTGGGGACGAAGGGCCTGCGAGCGCCCCCCAGCGGCCCAGGCGGCCATGCTGCATTCCTCTCCCCAACGTTGTCAGGTGAGGAAGTCTCTAAGCTTTTTACAGAATCCCAAGAAATACTGAAAAGAATCCTGGGAGAGGAAAAGCACAGGATCCTATCAATGGATGCAAAATAAAGCTGTCAAAATTCATTCATGATAAAAACTGAGCAAGCTAGCAATAGAGGGTAACTTCTTCAACTTGATAAAGAACATCTACAAAAAACCCAAGAGCTAACATTGTATTTCACGGTGTGAAAGACAGTGCCCACCCCACCCCCCTGTGATCAGGACAACCAAGGATTTCCGCTCTCCCAGTCCTAGTCAATATTATGCTGGAAGTCCTAGCCAGCACGATAAAGCAAGAAAAAAGAAAGTTAGGCATACAGATAGAAAAGGAAGACATAAAACTCCCTATTTGTAGATGATGTGATGAAAATCTATGCAGAAAACCCCAAGGAATCTACAAAAAAAATTTTCTAGAACTACATGAGTTCATCAGGTCATAGGATACAACATCAATATACCAAAATTACTTGTATTCCTATATATTTGACAATGAACACAAGGAGATTTAAATTAAAAACAATAATACCATTTGGAATCTCAAGAGAAATGAAGAATGTATCAACCTAAGAAAATGTTACAAGACTTGTACAGTAGTTCCCTCTTATCTACAGGGGATATACCCCAAGTCCCCCAGTAGATGCCTGAAATGGCAAACAGTACTGAACCATATATATACTGTAATTTTTTTTATACATACACATGCTTTATGGCTTCTCTTTGCATATCTGAATCGCCAGCATCACCGCTCTTGGGCTTCAGGGCCATTATTAAGTAAAATAGGATGACTTGAACACAAGCACCGCGATGCCACAAGGGTCTAACGATAGCTGGGAAGGCTACTAAGTGACTAGCAGGTGGGGGAGCATGTACAGCTCGGATAGGACAGACAAAGGGAGCAGTCACGTCCCAGGTGGGACAGAGGTTGGGAGGAGCAGGATGGCAAGAGATTTTATCATGCTACTCAGAGCACCTAGCAATTTAAAACGTATACATTGTGTATTTCTGAACTTCCCCTTTACTATTTTTGGACTGCAGCTGATCATTAGGTAACTGAAACCACAGAATGAAACTATAGATAAGGGGGCTACTATATGTTGAAAACTACAAAACACTGATGAAAGAAACCAGATGCCTAAACAAATGAAGATACATGTCATGTTCTTTGAAAGGAAGACTCAGCATAGTAAAAATGTCATTTCTTCCCCAATTGACCTGTAGATTTAATGCAATTCCTATCAAAATTCCAGCAAAGTGGGGGGGGGGGGGGGGGTATTTTTTGAGATATAGCCATGTCTGTTTTAAAATTTATATAAAAAGGCAAAAAACCCAGAGTAGCTAAGACAATTTTGAAAAACAAGAATAAAGTACAAAAAACCACTCTACTTGATTTTAGATTTACTGTAGAGTGGCCTTAGCAATGTGTTGGCAGAGGAATAGGCAAGTAGATCAATGGAACAGGATCAAGAACCCAGAAATAGGCCCACGAAGGAGCAGCCAACTGGTTTTTGAACAGTTGATGAAGTCTTTCTTTTCAACAAATAATGCTGGAGTAATTGGGCTTCCATTAAAAAAGAGAGAGAGAGAATTGACCGAAACCTCACACTTTGTACAAAAGTAAACTCAAAATGGGTTGTACAAAGGGGAAGGGAGTTGGGAGGAAGTAGAAGAGGATATGGAGGGATTAATGGTGATGGAAGGAGACCTGACTTGGGGTGATGGACACACAATACAATATACGGATGATGTATTATAGAATTGTGCACTTGAAACCTATATAATTTTAGTAACCAATGTCATACCCAATAAATTCAATAAAAATTTTAAAACTTAAAAAAAAAGCATCATTGCCTGGTTGGTGTGGCTCAGTGGGTTGAGTGCTGGCCTGTCAACTGAAAGGTTGCAGGTTCGATTCCCTGTCAAGGCACATGCCTGGACTACGGGCCAGGACCCCACCGGGGGTGTGGGCCAGTTGGGGACGGGTGAGAGGCGATTGATCGATGCTCTCGCACATCGATGCTTCTCTCCCTCTTTCTCCCGCCCTTCCCCTCTCTCTGAAAATAAATAAATAAATTTTAAAAAATTAAAAAAAAACAATTTGCAAGTCACATGTCTGATGAAGGACTCATATCTCAGATTATATAAAGAACTCTCAAAATTCAACCAAAAATATCCCATTAAAAACAGTGATTTTCAACCTTTTTAATTTCATGGCACACATAGACTAATTACTAAAATTCTATGTCAAACCAAAAATAAACTTTCTGTCAACCTGACAAAAAATAGGTACAATTTTGATTCATTCACACCAGACAGCTGTTGTTTTTGCTGTTGTCATTTTTTTATTTGATAATTTAAAGGAAAAGAGGTCAGTGCCCCTGACTAAATAGTCAGGTATTACATGTTTTAAAAATTCTTGCAGCACACCAGTTGAAAATCTCTTAGAATATAAGCAAAAGACATCAACAAACATTTAGCAAAGAGGATATTTCTTGTGTTCAATATTATTAACCATAAAGGAAATGCAGATTAAATCACACTAAGATTATTACATATCTATTAAAACAACTAAAATCATAAATAGTGACATTATCAAGTTCTGGCAAGGTTGCAGAGAAATTGGATTTCTCATACATTGCTGGTGAGGATGTTAAATAGTACTGCCACGGTGGAATATAGGTTGGCAGGGTTTGGGGTTTTTTTTTTTTACTTGTTTAATGTTGTTAAAAACATGTATTTTGGTACAGCCTCTAACAAATAAGGCAGTGGATAGCCTAGGCAGCCATACACGCATCTGTGAAGTAAGACCCTGTGCTGTTCGCCTGGTGACTGTCTGAGCGATGTCCCATCTCTGTGCGCCCCAGCAGGAGTGCATGGCTTACATGCTGCTCCTGTCCTTTGTTTGCTTCCAAATCCAGGTGCCCAGATTGTCCTTTATACCCAAAGTAGGTTCAGAATGGTTGGCGCAGGCATTCAGATCTGCACCCCATTAAATCCCAAGGAAGTCACAAGAGGGGCGGGGCCCCAGCTGATGGCCAGGTGGCTACCCATGACACAGCACCTTCACTGCCCTCCATCGATCCCAGAAAAACAACATGTCCACACAAAACACAAACACGTTCACAACCTGCTTCTTCCATAATAACCACAACCCAAATGGGGAACAACCCAAATATCTTCAGTGAGGAAACAGACAAGTGTAGTGTGTCCACACCCTGGAATACTACTCAGCAGTGAAAAGGAACCAACTACTGATATATCACAGCTTGGATGGACCTCAAAGGAATTATGCTGAGTGAAGAAAAGCCAGTCGCCAAGGTGACATATAATTCCATTTATATAACTATCGAAATGACAACATTTGTGGCTGCCAGGGTTAGAGACGGGGGAACGAAGTGGGGGGTAGCAGGAGGAAGGTCTTTGTGGCGATGGAACCGTTCTGGATCTACCCAGAACCGTTATGGTGTGGCTACACGAATTTACACATGGGATGAAACGGACAGAGCCCCCCACACACAGATGGGTCCATGTAAAACTCATGAAACCCATGCCAATGTCAAGTTTCTGGTTTGAGAAAAGATCTTATCATCAAGAGAAAACAACGGGTTCATTAAACTTTTTTGTAGTATTTTTGCAACTTCCTATGAATCTATATTTATTTTATTTTTTTAAGATTTTATTTATTCACTTTTAGAGGGGAAGGGAGGAAGAAAGAGAGGGAGAGAAGCATCAATGTGTGGTTGCCCCTCATGCACCCCCTACTGGTGACTCAGCCCGTAACCCAGGCATGTGCCTGGACTGGGAACCGAACCAGCGACCCCTTGCTTTGCAGGCTGGCACTCAATCGGTGAGCCACACCAGCCAGGGCTGTATTTATTTTCCAATTAAAAAAAGCCTGTGAGAAACTGGATCCAATCCGGGCTTTATGAATCACATTAAAATGCCATCCTGTGTGGGCTGACGCTCTGTTCCGCTCAGGTGTGGCCAGGGTGGAGGGTGGTCACTCTCCTTACCTCTTCCTGTCAGAAGCATCTCCGGGTGCCTGGCCCATGGTGGCCGTTCTTTGAAGAACCAATGAACTGGCAGTAAAGCGGCGTCTTTATGAACTGTCAGGTGGTCTGATGGGTGTCCTTCCACAGGGTGTGCACTACAGCTTTCCCTTGGGGGACGGAGGGCAGCGCTCCCGGGCTGGCCGCTCTCTCGCCACGGCCGGCCTCGGCGTCCTGCACGCTCAGCCCGTGTGCTGCCAGGGAGGACACC